GCCGGTGGTGCAGGTCCTGCTGCCGGTTCGGCAGGAACCGGCGGTGCCTGCCCATGATTGCCGGGCAGCTTCCAGGGCTTGGCAAACCTACATTTGCCAGGTGTTAGTACGTGTCCAGGCTTGTTCTTACCGTAGTTCTTCTTACAGCTCGGACATTCCCAATGGTAGTCGCCCTTATCGTGCCACCTGCAATGTCTGGGAGTTCTGTCATGTGAGGGAGAACGCATGTTAACATTATCCGCGCATGCGGGACACCCGGGCCCTCCCGAGGGTGATCTCGCGATCGAGCCATCGGGTTGCCGAGGGAGACTCAGATCGTCCAAGTCATATCCCCTCACGTTGGTGACCAGCACGGTGGACGGATAAGGGTGACCATGGAAAGGATCTTGATTCACCTGGACGAGATCGTGTGCGATCTGAAGAGCATCGACAAAACAACGACTGCAGCTTTGGAGTATATTGTGCGCCCATGGACTGTTCTCTGTTACATGCTGGCGAATGTTGATGATGGCCAGTACATCGTTTTCGCTCATAAGGGGTGAATAAAAAGCGATGGTTGGCCATGATCTCAGTCGGCTGTCGTATCGGTACCCCATGGGAATCACTTAGGTCAGTAGTGCATTGGTTCATGTTGACCTAGCAAGTGCCCTTGCGATTGGCCAGCGTAGTCCATGGTGGTATCTGATCCACCCAAGTACCCACAGGTTGTTCTCGTAAGTCGAATCGTCGAAGATCGTCCTGACGCATGGCCACCTTCCCACATAACTTGATATGCGGCAAATCCTGTTTATGATGTTCATACCAAGTATCGTAGTTAACCTGAGCATTGAAATAGAAAGGTAACCCAATTGTTCTGTAGTTAGGTTGTAATATAACAGCTCTGACGAAACGAACGTCCAAATAGTGCATCACTGCATCTTGAGAAGCCATGTTGACAAGGTCAACAAAGGAACGTTCGTCGAGGTTTCCCCCATGAGGACAAACCTCGGCCGAATGCTAGCTGCGAGATGCCTCCACTCCCTCCCCACAATTCCAGCACATCCACCTTGTTATGACGCCCATAGCACAAGGTGGGGCTTATGGGGGATGCACATGCGTAGGATTCAGCAGGTTGCCCCGCAGGTAATGCGATGCAAATGTCCTCTTCATCGTCACTTTCCGTCTTGGAGTCAAGAGGTACGTCGGTGTAGTACGCACTACATCCGAGTCCTTTCAGGTCATCTCCGCAGTCGTCGTTGCCTTCTTCGACTATCTTGGGTATCTTGCGTGGTTTGATGCCTGTTTCTTTGTCTGTTTTCTGCTTTTCTGTTTGTGTGATTCGCGCGTCGGTCGGTAGCGCTGTCTGTTGTTCAGTCCCAGGTGAACAAAGTCGGACATTCGGGAATAGGAGGGGGGCACGCGGCTGCGCTCAACCGAGGGGGGCAAGAGACGATCGTCATCGATGATCGCCGCTCGCCTAGGGCGTGGGCGTGAACTCCCGTGTCCGAGGAGAGCCGGGTCAGGCTGCTCCCAGCACAGTCGAGTACGGATGTTGGTGACATCATTTGGTAACGGTGCGCTGTAGTTGCATCCGATAGGCTGGTCCTTGATCTCGATGTCTTGTACGATCGTGTTGCCGCCCAGGTTCACCGTTGCCCGTCTGACAACACGGTCCCACTCAGGGCCATTCTTCGGAGACTGAACGTAAGTTCGAACTCCTTTATCCACTCGAGTGTGGATACTAAGATGTACAGCGCTTGTGTGATTTCTCTGCGTCTTGTGTAAAACCATCTGATCAATCAACCTTGCGGTCATGATCGCTAGCGTCTTGTCGCGCAATTCGGCCGTCTGAGCTCCATGTCCATACCAATCCAGGACATGCTCAGTAGGTTGCGCAGGTGCCCCTGTTGTTTTGCACGTGCATCGCCACAGGTTGGTCGGGATGCCTGCACAGGTAGTTGCCACTGGCAGATATGATCCGCTGGGCAACGTATTAGAGCGGTCGCACTTGAGGCCGAAGCGGCAGAATCGCATACGCATGACCTGCGAGTCAAGATCTTCAACAGCGTCTCGCATAGGACCTTGTTTCCAGAAGGATCCTGGTGGCCCCACAAGCACAATAGTCATTCGTAGAGCCCTGGCCTTGGTCATCAAGTTTTGGATGCGATAATAATGTGGCCCTGCACGCTTGCCAAGCAGTCTCACATACAAATCGGCAGGTGCAGCCACCCATAACAGTTGGTAGTCGCCCGAGAGTAAAGCACCCAAATATTGTGTACCAGTGGAGGTCATGACCTCTGTATGTGAAATGCGGTCACACGTGTAACCACGGGCTCGGAGTTCAGCGCAAGCTGTCCGTATGTCCTCAATAGCAAATGCACGAGAGTGATACTGATGCGATAAGCTTTCTGTTTCTGCAACGTCCACACAGCCGGGTCCACTGCTATTCGCGGCAGCCGCGCAGCCGGGCTGGCCCTGCCCCTGGCGCGCACAGCCGGCGCCTGGGAAAAGAATGCAGGTTTCCCCGCGTTTGATGACAGCACCTGACTGTTCGGCCTGTCTGAGCAAGCGCGAGTGGCCGTGGCGCGCGCCTGCCCCCGTCGCTCGTTTGGCGATGGGGGCGTCCAATGCCTGTGCCATGCTGCGCTGCAGAGCCGCTGCTCGAAGTTAAAATCTCAAACTTCTCAGCGCATCATCTCCTTCCGCAGGGGTCCCTGCCTGTGCGTCCGCAAGGCGAAGTCCTTGTCGGCCGAGGTCGGGTTGGTCCAGAAGCACGTATTCCTGCGATGCAAAGTCTTCAAGGTGTTATTCACCAAAGACTGGATCGTGAACGTGAACGTCTCCTCGTTGATGGACGAGCTGATGCCCTTGGTATCCTGTGGCATCATATATAAGCGTCACTCATAGCAGGTGCCCCCGCGGCTGGCTCTGGATCAGATGCTTCTTTGACGAGCAACGGATCATCCTCGCATTGAGGACTGGCCGTAATAGTAAACGACATCGACCCTTTATCCTCAGTAGCGACACCGTACTCGTCGACCTTGAGTGCCACATGTCCAGAAATCAGACCAAGCACTCTGGCACCCTTTCCTAGTATAAGTTTGTACATTTCAGAGCCAGGGATGATCATCTTCTCGCGCCCCTGCTCCAGGATCATGATAATGTTCATGTTAGACATGCTCCTCAAACCCAGGATAGCAGGGAGGTTCCCCCCAGAACCCTCAGCTACATTCGCTGGGTAAGTATCAAGTCTCGGCACAGCAGGTCCCGCGCTGCACCTGAGCACTCACAGACAGCTAAAGCGGAAGCCGCCGACAGCCCAGAGGCGCGCGAAACGTGCCGAAAAGAAGAAAGCAAAGAAGGCTGCAAAGAAGACGGCGGAGATCGTGCTGAGCACTGCCTGAAATTTGTCCGATCCCATCCATCTTAGGTCATCTCTCCTCTTCTCTCTTATGTCCTCGTTGTTCTCTTGCTTACTTGCACTTCTTGCTTCCGCCGCCATTTGGGCACAGGTCCCTTGAGTCACGATCGCCCCGCAGGAAAGGACCGGACCGCCCTGCTAGCCCTGCCGGGCGCACTCTGCCGTGCCATGGCAAGTGTTTGATTCCTCCTCATCCTGGAGATTCCTGGGAGCCCCTGGGGCCTCCGGTCCTAGACCCTCGAGTGCCATCCGAGAGAGTCCGCTCAAGGGAGCGCCCCCCCCCACGTTGCTATGCGATTCAGCTTGCCCGCACCGTCCTGGCGGGCCCTCTAAAACCCCCCCGCGGGACCTCAAACGTGACGACAATTTTGAAGATGGAAGGTTTCCCGTTGAGAAAGGAGTTACGTTGAAGAGTAAACTAATGACAACAATCTCACACTTGACGCCCCAAACCATCCCGGAGCTCCCGAAGCGCGAAAGCCGCTCCCCAACGGCACGATGCAATTTGACCGCCCCCGTATATCCTGCCTGGCCCCGGCAGAGTTTTCTTTTTTCCTTTCGCTGATAAGAAACACTTCCCCCCCTTTCGACGGTGAGGCGGGGCGAGCGACGGGGGTGGGCGGGATGGCGGGTTGGGTGGGCGGCGGGGTGGTTGGCCGGAAGGGTCGGTTGGGTTGACAGGTTGAGCTGGCTAGAAACTTGGCGTCGACTCTCCACCGCAGCCAGCCGATAAGGACCCAATCTGGGATCCCCCATCCAATGTAGAAGAAGACAATCTAAAGTCGACGATTTCCGTCTCAACATGTACATTTTGTCGCCCATGTTGCAAAATGCGCGGCAAGAATGGGACGGGGCACACATCTCGCGCGAAACGCCGACATGTAGTTTTCGCCTTGGCGCGGCGCTCTGTTTTTCAAGAGACTTGAATTCTCGCTGGGGTACGGCGCGCGTTTTTTCGCACGCCACTTCCTCAACGCGCGGGCGGGGGCGAAAATGTTGCTCTCGCCGTGGCGCCGCCCAACTGTCGTCTGAAAGTGGCGCTCCCGCCCCAGCGCGGCGCAAATTTCTCACTCGCAAAGTTTGGAAGGCCCGCGCGGGTGGGCGACTTGTTGCCCTCGTCCAATCTCCGTGCGTATTTCGCTAGGAAGCGACGCATAGCTCGTTTGCCGAATCGCGTGAAAGCGACATCGGGGGGGGGGAACCGGGAGCGGACGAAATGCTGTCCTCGTCCAAGCGCCGCGCAGCCTCTCCGTGAAAGGGGCAATGTCGTGTCAGCACGGCGCATGCTTCGTCTCCGCCGCGCCCGTCGGAAGTGTTCCATCGTAACTTTCTCTTCGCCAAATCGTCGGAAGCGGACAGCGCGCGAGCGCCTCCCGTTCGCGAGGTGGAAAAGCGTTCCAATCCAAATGTAAAACTGTGCCACGCTTTGTTCTTATGTCGTGGACGGGAGGGTCGGATTAAGAGGGGCCCTCTGCCTCGCTCGGCCTGGCTAGCTTGACTCTCTTCGTTCTCCTCCTCCTCCTCCTCCTTCTCCACCGCCTCGTCGACGCCCTCTTCGTCAACGTCCTCGGTGTCCTCCTCCTCCTGCCCGCGGCCCTTCCACGTGCTGGAGGACTCGGCCGCGGCACTCGAGGCCGACCTTCTTGAACCAACAGACCTCTGGGCGAGGCGGTAGCCGCGGTTGCAGACTTGCGCGGAACTGCCGTCCAGCACCATGCACGACATCGTTGTTGTGAAGACATGGGCAGAACCTCCCACCAGAACTGCCACAGGGCGTGCTCTAGTCATTCTGGGCCCGCTACGCTGATCCCGCAGCAAGGGCAGTGTGGTAGGACGTCCCCAAGAGAGCTGACCCAACTTTGGAAGAACTGATACCCAACTGAATGGCACTCCCTGTGGATTGTCCTTGCGTCCAGCTGGTGGAAAACGCCAAGGGAAAACTCTGGAAATTGTTTACGGAAGCGGCAGCAGACCAGTGGAAAACACAAGTGAAAACGACGACGCGTGCATAAGGAACTCTCGACGACGTATTTGGTGGCGACGACCTTAACAACTCCGACAATGTCGACGACTTCTACGGCGACGACGGCGTGGACGACGACGACGACGACGACGACGGTGTTTATGGGCACGAGGATGGGCGCGGTGATGATGACAGACAGGAGTTGGGTGGGATATGCCGTATTCGGCAACCCTTCGACCTCAGACGGTTCATGACGTGAGCTACTTTTCTGATAAGGACGGTGGGTGAATATGATCGTACTCTGGTGTGCCATAGACTCTGCTCTACGTTGCGAGTCAGTACTCTACTCTCCTCGACCCTAACCGATTACACTGGAATATACTCTGCGCTACTCTCGTCTACTTACTGTGCCCCGCCTGCCTCGGTTCGACAATACTCTAAACGGGTTCACACGACCCATGAGCATCCACTGGAACATCCACGAGGGCCAGTGGAAACCACAGCTTTCCTCTATTCAGCTCTATTGTGATCGGCGCTATCCGCCGACCCTTTGTGGGTCTCTAGTCGTGTGAGATCCTCCCCCCCCCCTTGAGCACCCCCTGGGGACCCGAAACCGGAAATGTACCCCTCCCCCCCGGCCTGTCCCGACTTCTGGCCGAACACATCGAGGGAGATCTGGGACTCCTGGGATCCCTTTGAAGCTCCAAGACAGCCCCAGAGGCCTCCCACGAGGTTCCGAAGACGGTTCAAGAGGGCCCGGAGTCGCCGAAAGACGGTTCCATAACGCCCAAGATGGCCTCCAGACGGCCCAAGATGCCTCCAAGACGTGCCAAAGAGGCCTCCAAGAGGCAGGCCCCCCAAGAGGGCCTCAAGACACAAACATCGCCCATTCCCTTAGGAAACCGTATATGTTTAGCATATTCGCGTCTTGGGTTTTCATTGCATCCAAAACGGCCCAAAAGAGGACCCCAAGACGGCCAACGAAGCTCCTAAAACGGCCCTGAGGGGAAACCCGACTGAACTTTCGAGTTTTCGGCCCCAAGACGCCCCCAGACTTCCCCAAGACACTCCTCACGAACCCTCCAGGAGGGCCCCAAGAGGCCTGAGTCCAAGACGCCCCCCGAGAGGCTTCACACGAGACACCATCATCCATCCGAGTGGCCTCAGATGGCCTCAAACCCACCTCAAACCCACAACCCAGGCACGGTGGCTGGCTGGGCCGAAGGCTATTCGATAATCATTCTTCGGTTGCTTTGACATACGCCTGCCGTCTGTGAGCGTGCGTGTTCCGTGTTCCCCCTCTTGCCCACGCGCACACGGGGAAAATTCAGAATGTCAGCCGCAAAGAAAACAATGACCGCCCAAAACATCCTCTTGAGCTCTGACTCTGCCCCTCCTCCTCCTCCTCCTCCTCCTCCTCCTCCTCCTCCTCCTCCTCCCCTCATCCTTTTTCTGTTCCTCCTCCGTCCGCCTCCCCCCAACTCCTCCACCTCCACATCCCCCTCCTCCTTCTGTTCCCCCCAGCGGCCCCGAGCATTCAGACGCACGACTTGCACTTGAGGGCGCCGTCCTGGTGGAAACGCGCGAAATGCGGTCCAACGACGAACTGGGATTTCGGGAGCTTCCTCTTGCAAGTGCCGAAGCACTGGTACGCTTGCCAACGGGTGAAACAACAATATGAAGGATATTTGGCCGACTCCGCCGACCCTCCTCCTTCCCCTCCTCCTCCTCCTCCTTCTCCTCCTCCTCCTCCTCCACTACCCTGTAGGTCTGGAGCTGTACGGGAAGGACACGCCGACGTGGTACCGCGCCCCCGATGAGCCTCGACCACTGCCGGCTGTACCCCCTGTTGGCTGTGTTCGTTTCCCCTTTCCTTGCCACACCTTGGATAGCCCATTTGGGCGAGCAGCCACCGCGCCGCTTAGGGTTGCTGGCACGGACCATGTCCAGTCCAGGCCCGATCGGGACCGATGCAGGTCCGTTGGTCACTTAGGTCCATTCGGCAAAACTAAGCGCGACCGAGCGGGACGCGCGGGCAAACGTTGTCGCCGTCGGACCTGGGCCCATGGACAGGCCGTCGTCGAAGAAGGTACACCCGAGGAGGTCTTGCAGCAGCTCTGGACCCCATTCTGCAGGGTATTGATTACGAGATTGCAGGCAGGCACGACAAAGTTGGCCCTGGAGCCAACCGCTTCATCGGGCACCACGGCCCCCCCCAAGGTGAAGTGGCGGCATTTGCGGTGGGATCCACCTCGCAAGCGGCTGTACCACGACACCACAGTCTGGGCTTGGGCTACAGCGGCACGCTGGGCGACGCACCTTCGTGCTGAGCGTGATCGGGTCCAGCGTTTTTGTCACCGGTTGAATGCGGTGGCGGCGCATGCGTCTCCACATCCCAGGCAGCTGCAGAAGACGGCTAGCGTCTTCTACGACATCCTCTGCTTCCTGAGCTCCATTGCTGGGCAGGACAAATGCCTCACCAACATCGACCCCTGCTACCGCCAGTTCCTCCTGCGCCGGCTGGACGGGCTGATTGCGGAGGACTTTGGCGACATGGTAGATGCCATCGTGGGCCGCGCGGAGGACCTCGCTGCTGCGGCTCGCGGCGCGTCGGAGAGAGCCTGGCGCAGCTGGGCTCAGGCGGCTTTCGATGCGGGAGCGAAGGCTGCCCATGCTGCACCCAAGGTCAGGGTGCAGCAAGAGCGCGTTGCCCCTGAGGCCGACGCCCGAACTCGACCAGGGTCGCGCCAAGCATGCTCGAGCGTGGCGGGACATCTTCGTGGCCAGCCGCCGGCGCACTCTGCGGGACCCTCCCAAGTTCCGATGGACGCCAGCGCGCAAGTCCTTGGAGGAGCTTATGGGCACAGAGCCGCATGAGCTGCGTGACTGGCTAGGCAACGGCTGGGCAGACTACTTCGCGCGCTGTGGTGCGGCCTCTCACGCGCTGGCTGGGTCGGTAGCTGAGGCGGCAACAGCTGCGCTGAAACAGCACCGCAAGGTCCTGCAGTTCATTTCGTGGGTGGCGCTGCAGGTGGTGGCTCGCAAACAATGGGGATGCGACGCTGAAATCCCCAGGCCACCTTGCGAGCAGGCCAGGCCCAATGTGGTGGCACGCAGTACGGACCATGTCCTCGCTTACTGCGCCAGCCTCGGGCGGTACCGATGTACCCAATGCGGAGTCACGGCCACAACGGGCTCCTCCTTCGAGTCGCTGCAAACTGGCTCTCATCGTGTATGTCGCCCTTCGCGTGTTGCCAGAGCTCTCAACGCCGAGTACTTCCGCGCCCTCGGCGAGGGCTGGGCTATCTGCACCGACCAGAGGGCGGGCATGGCCCTGGGCGCGGCCTTGGTGCTCGAAGGGAACTCACAGCCCTCGGCCCCAACAGCCTCGTTGCTACCTGCCCTGGCAGAGGAGGTTGTGGACGCCTTCGCTGCGCTTGGGCACGACGTGTTCAGGGGCAACAATGTTTACTGTTGCAGGCGCTGCGGATCTCACTGTGCTGCGGGGGATGCCCGCGCACTGCGGAAGCTTGATTTGAGGTGCGATGGGCTCTCGCCCAACGAGTCCACGCGCCGCAACCGGCAAGATGCGATCAGGCGCGTCGAAAAGGGGCCTGGCGCCTCGTGCCCGACGTAACCCTGCAGCGCCGCCCCCGCAGGGGGGCTCCTCTTGCAGCCACGCGGCGCGTTGATCGACCATGTCGTGATTCGCTGCCGTGCCGTGGTCGGCTGGTGGAACGGCGACCTCGTCTGTGGCGACGCCTCATTCGTCGGCGGCAATTTGGCCTGCGTCGACGCGCCCCTGACCCTCTTCCTCTGCGAGTGGGTCTTCCTCCACACTTTCTTCAACCTTGCCCTCTCCGCCATGGTGGCGTGA